GCTGGGGCTTTGGTCTGCCAGAGAGCCTCGCTCTCTAAAGTTTCGGGCGGCTCGAAGCCGGGAAGTCGCCGTCGGGTTCTGGGTCGGCATCCAAATTACGAGTGGGTTTAAGGGTATCTTCAAGCAACTATGAACAGTGCTAGCAGCACGAGTGGAGGTCTTGAGTTCAGGTTTGTGTCTGCTGTCAGAGGCGATTGAAATCTGGCATCCTCACTTTATTACGCTGGCAACTGGGGAACGGCTCACGAAGAAGACACAGACATTGCAAAGAGTCCGATTTGCCATTCATGCTACACTTGGATCCCTCCTTGCAGCCAGTGTAATTAAGTCACATCCGGCATCAAATTAGGACGACCAGCATCCCTAGCCTACATTCTCAAGCCCTGACCTCTACACATCTGAGGAAAGTTGAGGATGAGGAGATCCGGCAGTGTCTTCGGGGCCCCAAATGGTAAGAAGTGGAGGTCCTTGATGTGCTGGCACCCTTAAGTTCAGCTACAGAGGATTAAGTTATGTTTTTCAATGTGGCGCCTTGTCTCATGTTGTCTCGGTTCCCTTGCTTTCGCGAACCGCGGGCCCGCGGCTCTCGAGTTTTCTGCTGCCGATCAATTTTCGAATGGCTTGCAGAGCGTGTTGCTTACGGGTCTGTCAACATGTATGTATGTATATATATATATATACATACATATAGACCGTGTATATATATATATATATTGGGGCAAGTCCAGAGATGGCTACCTGTAGGGCTCCCCAACCTGTCGGCCCTCCAGCCCTCGGGTTCCTAAGACGGGTAGACCTATCGGCCTCAGTGCAGGAGCGTGGCTTACCTGGAAACCGGAACAACCTCCCCAGGACCGGAACTGGGCTCCCGAGTGCTTGAAGCAGCCAGGATGACGCATACTGGTTTCATATAGTGCTACATACTACCATGTAGCATGGTACAATAGACTCAAATACACAAGAGGAGATAGTCTCGTATGACATGTAATATAGAGTCCCATAGCTAGCATAGCATAACAGAAAACATAATTTGATATCGCGAACATCATAAGATACAATGCCGCATCACGCTTACAAGCTCAGACAAAGCCATATAGCAAAATAAAACATTTCAAGTTGCCCGAGAATCACAATGATAAAGTACACAACGGATAGGCGCAAGCGCAAGATGGCATAATTCGGCATACCATAGTGCACTATCAAAGTCGAAATAATTTGTATACATGCTGTTCCATCATTTGAAGTGTACTGGGTACCTCAGACCATAGAATATGCAAGCGAAGTCACCCGATGTTACAATATCTACTTGCCGTCTCGTCTTATCTTACAAGGCCCCAAATACTGTCTTTTTACAGCATATCACATGATGTTTCATTGTGTCGTAGTAGGTTGCTTTATGTAAGTATACATCGCATTTTCACATCATGCCAAGTCGTATTATCGTATTCTGTTGTATTTCATTATTGCATCTCAGCATGTTCTGTTGTATATATATATATATATATGTATATATGCAAATGCATGCACACATGCGTACTTCTCTCGCGGCACTGTGGCGCTGTACCATATAACTTTGGGTGGGTTTCATTATCTTACATTGCATTGTGTTCCGTGTGATATCGTCATGCCTTATTATACTGACTTAAACCATACTGTACTACTGTACCATAGATCTGTGCATTACCTTTTTCTGCCCAATGAACTTGCCTTATAACATGAAAAGTTGTCCAGTGTTGTTTGTATAGTACCAGACTGTGTTTACGGTGCTTTGCTATACCTCTCTACTTTGCTACGTTCACTTTCACTGCATGTTGCGTATATTCTGCGACGTGCTTCTTTGCTATGTCATGTGAGGCGGTGTTTTCGTGTCTGGGGTAAAAAAAGTTATTAAAAGAACTTGTATGATGGGAGTGTACTGGCTTACATTGTGGTGCTGAAGCATGTTAGAGTTCATCTTATCTTTTGTGATTCGCTCTACGATAACTGACAGTACGATGCGGTAACATTTTGTAGTTGATTACCATGCGTAGAACTAGTTTTGCTCTGGTTTGATCTCATACTCTAACTTCGAGCTATATGATGCCAAATGACATGTTTATTCCGCTTGTTTTGCAGAATTCTACTGTGCTGCACGATATCCATATGCTTATTGTACTCAATGCTAGGAAAGAGAGACAAAGACACATATTTTCCTTTATTTTTTCATATATATATATATATATATATATATTATACCACGTATGTACATGTGTAGATGCATGCAGCTTTGCGTACGAGTGAAGGTGTGTATGTCTCGGCGGGCATGTGTTTGCGACTTGACTTCGTGCCTCGATGTATGTATCCGCCTACACTTCCCCTTAAGCCCATCCATGGCCATCACGGATTTCGAGGTTTGAAACTCTGTACGAGAAGCCCGTGGATTCGCATCCATCATTTTGTTTTTGCATCCGTACTGTTTAGGTTT